GAAGTGGAGAATTACGTTATATATCTATAATAGGTACTAAACGAATGTGTGGAAAAGTCCATTTCGATACGTTGTAAAAAAAACTAAGCTCAAATTTAAGTAATGTAAGTATTGTTAATGTCCAGTGTTATCATTGCTTCATGATTTAATTGTAATGTACATTGAACCTCAAAAATATTAAAATGTAACATAAATATGGTCAGACCGAATGAAGATTAGACAATGTATAATGTAGGTATATACATAATACATAATACATAGTACATACATATTGTTTCACACAATTTGAATATTACCTATATATTATCAAGATTACTATAGATAAATAATTATTGTGTTATAAAAACAATTAGCAATCTCGATGAGGGAGTTTATCACCTATAACCCCCCCCCCCCACTCAAATCGTTATTGATCGTCACAATCACTTGGCTGTTTGCGTTATTTTAATACAATTCTACATTACATATTATTTGTGTAAGTTATAAATACCATAAAATATTATAACATAGGTGTACGGATGAGACATAGAAATCCTCCAGCAGCGCACGTCGCAATCAGAAATGTATACAGAGATGGTCCTCAATATTCATATTACTCATATTACTTAACTGTTATTATTATTACAATTATTTACTTTAATACTTAATAAAATGTATCCCTCGATGTAAATACTATATACTCAATTTTGGCCCCCAGTGGGGAGGCTCAGGGCTGGGGGCACCTCCGACATCCCTAGCCACTGGAATCCCCTCACCTATACACGTATAATTGGTTTCGCCTCTACAGCTATCACCAGAACGGGTGGACAGGTGGGTGTACCACCTCTCTCGACTTACTCGTTTTCGTCTGGATGGTGTTACGACGACGTAGGTAATAACGAATCGTTCTCGAGTCGCGGCCACCCCGATGGAACCTCTGTGGAAAAAGGCCGCACAACGCGACGATATGTATAATTTTCGATTCGCTTGTTCGAGTGACACGGTTATGTCTTAGAAACTATTTTATGCACAAGCAGCAAGCGACGACACGTGGTGGGCAAACTTGCGCGAAAACACACGTGCGACCGCAGAGACTGTAAGTGTACGTCTGCCGAGCGGAGTGCGCCATCGTCTCTCTGGGCCCGCGAGTGCTACAAGTCCCCGGACACGAGTGACTACCGTCGTCGTTGTACAATACGCAAAAGTTTTTGGAACGTTTCCGAATCTCCCGCGCCCCGCGCACACGCGAACCACTGGGGGCTCACTATCACAACAACAGTCACAATTATATATTTATTTATATGTATATATACACTGCTGCTCCACGCATATAGTTTAATTGATGTTTCGTGACAGGACTTTTCGTTTTTTCGGTAAAAGTTATTATAATAAGTCGACTTTTGTTTGGAACTATAATATGTACACACACGCTCGAACTCGCTTACACGGGAAGGCTAATCTAGGACAAATTACCTACGGCACAACCCGGCCCGACCTCACTTCCTTCCATGATTACGTAGGTATATATTATATAATATACCTGGGTACACGCGTTTTTCGTCGTCTTCGTGGGGTGCCGCGTGTGTCGGCTGCAGTTATTCGTTTCCGATTTTCGTTATACCGCCAAAGTAAAAAAGGTTTGATTTTTTTCCTCCAAATCAAGGCATACGCATATATAGAGGCAGGTATTGTTTTAAAAAATTCTATACAGATAATATTTGTAGTTGTATGCCTACTTAATAGTTAATACTTTGTTACTGCGATTGACGTGTTGTGCTAATTAATTAACACTTCGAATTAAAATTGTTAAGAATATATTATTAATTGTAGTTGGCGATTCGTACAACTGTTCTCGTTGAATTGTTGATGGAATAATAATCGCAATTATTTGTGGTTCTGCGAATCTATCACAAAAATATTGAATCACGCTGTGTAGCGTAGAAACGTACTGTTTTCGTAAATACAATTTCGAGAATAATCGCCAAAAAAAAACAAAACAATAAAGACATAAGACCTGCAAAATTACGACTAGTGGTTCTCAAATCTATATCGATAGTTATTTCGAAAGAAAAATGATTTGGAGGAAAATATAGTCATTTTATATATAGTTGGCGGAAACAATAATTTGGTGTTTTGGGGAACAACACATGTTTGACAAACCTCCCAAAACCCTAAGGCTTATATATCCATGTTTATGTATTATCTATAAAATGATAATAGGTACACACATAATAAAGCAAAACAACCAAATTTATTTCTAAATTTTAACCAAAAATGTTTATTTTTTACCATTTTTTTTCACGAAATTTGAGTCTTATAAACGAAGTTTTGAGTCTTATAACCGATTTTTTTATAATGTATTTGGATACGCCAGGAGCGTTTCAAACAATTTTGTGTCTAATAAGCGACTGAACCTTATATTCGTGAGTCTTATAAGCGGCGTCAACTGTAATACATTTTGAAATCGTACGATATAAAAGTAAAATGTGTATGAATTTCATTCTCTGAATAATAAGCAACATTTTTGTGATTCAGACTAATTTTATCAAAATTCTAACTTATTGACGATCATAAAAAATTACTGTGGATTTACTTCCAACTTTTTTATAATTTCCACTGAGAGCAATTCATAAGGTCCTTTATATTACATTTTTTTAATTTTTCAACCGAGCAAAAAATGTATTATTGACATTAGTTTTTAAAAAAAAAACTTATAAAAATAGATAATTTCATAGTCCTATAAATAACTCAACATGATTTGAAATATTTTTAAAATTACATGGTGTAGGTTAAATGGTCATGTAAAGATTTGGAGACAATTTAAAAGTAGGTTTTAAATTGTATGGTGTATACTGTATAGTACTTAAAAGTACTATACACCTAAAAAAGAAAATTTTGTCAACAACTGATCTTATTGTTTTTCGGTTTTCCTTAATAATATTCTTTGTTTTTTCAGACACTTTTGACCTGCCAAACTCTTAAGTTCCAACTATATATTCACTTCCCTACCATAAAAGATGTTGAGGTGGAAAATTGAAGCATTTGTACTGGTCCAAAACGTAATGACAGACATAAAAAAATCACATAGCATTATAAAATCAATGGACCCTTCGCTCCGCCCAGAATCTAAAATGTACAAAAAATGTAGTCTTATAAAGCTTGAGAATTTGTAAATGTTTATGAAAGAGATTTGAAAATTACAGTATTCATTGCATATTTTCGACATTGCCTTAAATTTATAAATTAACGTATATATTATAAGTACATTGTATATTGTTTATTACGAAAACCCCACTGGACTTACTTACATTCATGAGTATCACTCGATATACTTACAACAACTCTACAGGCGTACAGCAGAGCTAACCTACATCCCTACTTTTTTTTTTAATTAGAAATTTCCATTCGTAATAGTTAATATGACGTCAGTACGTCAGCAATGACTACCAGTGTTAGCTGTGAGTACTAGATACTGTTTTCACACATATGCAACAGCACGTACGTTGCGCAAGCACCACCCATTGGCAGTATAGCCAGTTAATAGTAATCATAGGGTTATAAAATTATTTATTTAAGATACAGTTTGTTTTAAAAAAAGAAAGAAATTGTATACGTGACAGCAGGATGTCGGTGATTTTTGGTGCTGTCACGAAGGTATATGCGACAATGGCATAATTAAAGGGTAAACAAATGAAAAGTATATTTTTACAGTATTGTAAATATTGGCTTGGTAATGAAACTATATGGAAGCTGTGAACTTATATAGAACGAGCACTCTGCTGTAGGTTAAAAATTAAAATAGACAAAATAATCTAAAACAAAACTGACATACAGGTACCTATCACTGAGCTGCAGGTAAAACCAAGCATACCAGCTGATGATTAGTTTCGTTCAGAATCTGATAATTATAAAACAGTTCTCCGTTTGTCCTGGTCAGTGGTCACGGTCGGTCACTAGGTAGTGCACCGTATTTTACATAATATTTTAATAGTAGCCCGCAGGTGGTATAATACAATATAATAATATTATGTGTATTATATTATTCGCTTGGCGAACCTGTCGAACTACCGATGCGTATGTCACTCCGTTATGTCTGGAGTCACGCGATCCTGCCGCCACCGATGAAATCCACCCCGCACCATTAAGCCACCCCTAACAATCCTATACCAGAACTGGTAAGCGATCGCGTCCCCGTACTGGATCGTGCCGTTGCTGTTGTGTGTATTAATTTGCGAAACTTGTGTAAGCACAACGACGAAGACGACGTAATAACTGTAATATAATAACGCTAATAACAATAATAATAATAGTACGGGTTAAGTCACATCGTTTAAAAGCGTCCCCTGGGTTGGTGGGCGCGTGTGCCCGGGCTATTAAATCGCCACAGTGGGTGAATCACGGACGACCGAGTTTTGTGTCATCCCCTCGGCTTCATAACATAATAATACACGTGTATATATATATAAATATTTGTGATCGTGTTATTATTATTATTGTGCTGAAACGAGCCTTTTATTACGACTTCTGTACGGTTGGTTTGAATATATTATTATAAATAAATATATTATGTTGCATTAAATGTTTTTATACTATAATACGCCGCTGACATGTATTTAAAATACGTTAGTTAAGATATGTTCCAAATAAGGTTGATTTTGTGATTAAAGTAGTAATCTGCAGTTTCCTTTATACGAATATTATCTGTTGTTACTAGGTGGTATTATATATTATGTGTTATGGTATGTTAGTAATATTGTGTTATTTTTTAAACAATTCTACATAATATATATATTTAAAGGAGGTTAGACAAATTTTAACTATAATTTACATCTAATAACAACTAATAATATCTTATATCTGTCTATGAAAATCGCACTCGTATATAACATTATAATCAAACTGAACACACGATTCTTATTGTCTGTAGGTATAGGAATCCACTCCGGATGGCAGTGATGGCGTTGATCGGCACTCGGCAACAGAAACATCACCCCGAATGATCGGTGCCCCATCTCTTGAGAATGACCGATCTAGACTACAGACCACATCCTAAAATGCCACTTAGTCCTTTTACGAAATGGCTGAGGACATATTATATACGATGCAAAGAACAAGACGAGAAGATAGTTGAGACTGAAGCCAATCTATGGATATCCGCCCAGGACAAACAGCATAAAGTAGAACTCGAATACAAGCCCGGTACATGATCAGCAAACGAAAGTGTTCTACAGGTGCTGAAGAGCACAAGATGGTGTTGAAATGAATCGAATAAAAGTTGTTAAAGAATAGGCAAATATTTAATATTTTTAAACATTTATTTTATCAAATACGATTAAATACACCCTATACCTACTATAGCTCTATAGTATGGTGGTCATGAAATAGTTATGTACTTAACCTCAGTTAATACTAGTCGTTAAAAATAATAATGTTTCAAAGTATCGAATAAATTTACTGGAGTATTAAGATATTTTTTTTTATAAAATACTCGATATATTGCCTATACTATAGTCCATAGATATAATCGTAAAGATACGGCACAACCCTATCTCCACACAACTTAGGCAAGTTGAGGTGATGTAGCTTATTTAATATACATTATATTTTATACAGGTACTATTATACATAGTTATGCATTTAGTAATTGATATCAGGAAATATAATTAAACTTTTATTTCTATTATTTTTAGTAAAAGAAGAAAAATGTAGGTCTTAAATACCAATAATTATTCTATTGCACATTTGACATTAAATAATAAAGTAAATGACACAGTATGTACATCTATAGTTAGAACTTAGAACTCAAATACGAACTTATAACAACTTAGAATAATCCGTCAATGTTATGTCCGGTAAATGGTAATTAACATGCTAAGTATAGTCATAACTCATAATTAAGAACGTTAAGTTACAAATTATAGCTTAAATAAATAGTTAACAAATAATATATTTATATATAAAAGCTTAAAAGTTATAATCGGCATACTCAATCTACGTTTTCATTAATACCCCTTGAGCACAGATGCCATGAGTTCCTAAGTTCTTACTATTGTTCAAGATATCTTTTCCGGACATTTTTCCGAACATATGTGTACATAAGTTTTTATAGTTTTTTCAAAGTGGTCGTGACTCGCGACATTGTAATAATTTCCAAAATCGGTGTAAAAAGCTGTGTACATTTATTATATCCCGGAAACTACTAACTACTGTTCCAAGCCGACTAGACGTGATCTGAATCACTTTTGACTTTCCCTAATTTCCACGTCCAAACATAAATTTTGTGGTTACTTAAAATATGGTAACGAACTTGTAAGTAAGTATTGCTAAACATAATTTAAAGTCATGATGCTATATTCTGTTAGTGAGTGATTTCAGAAGTGGTTTCCCTTTTGCAATCAATCGGCCCATTGGAAGTATAACAGTTTCGGTCTATATCTCGATTTCAGATAGTACTATCTCACGAATAATAGTTTTGAATGTATTACAAAAACAAGCAGATAGGACAAATTAAAAATCAATTATACTTATTTTCGACTCCGATAATAGTTAACAATATTATTAAACATCCCAGGAATAAATGTTATTACTTTATGAGCAGAAAGTAAAGAATTCGGTTTTAAAATAAAATTTAATAAAAATGAATTATGATTTATGACTTATGAGTAAACTACCTGTCTACCTACATGGCTATGTGGCCATTATAGCCATATAGTTGAGATGATTGTACATATTTTACATTTATACATAATAGGTCAATCATCAATAGGTCTATGGTTGTAATATATATACATAATAATTGTGGTTAAAAAAAAATGATAACTGTTATCAATGATAATAAAAAAGTAACGTTATTTGCAACGCAATACTTTATTAATGAAAAAGTAATAGTAAGTGATAAAAATTATTTTAGGCTACTTAAATGTTATTTAAATAAAAATATTTATAGGAACGATTGGCGTAATTTTATTACTTTTTAAAATTAATTTACCCCACATTGGGGACGAATGCTAGCGGACTATTTTCGGATGACTAGCAATAAGAAACCTTGTACGTTGGATTGCATTTCATTACATTTCAGGGATTTGAGGGATTCCGTACTATTGCACCGAAATCGTAATAATATGTACGTATATTGTATACTAGTACGGCGCAGGTGAAATTTAGATGGCGTTGTACGGTCGGGCATCTAACCTGACCGCACCTAAGTAGATGACAGAAGTCGCCCTATGTGGCTGTGTGGCTGTCATCACACAATAATTTTTGTATGGTAGTAAATTGTTATAAAAGTAAATAAATAAATTCTATTGACGTCATTACCGGAAATATTAGCATATTTTCGTCATAACAAGATGAAAAATAACGAAAAGTTAAATTATAAATTATTGTTCTAGTCTCGTAAGTCTAATATCTATAATAGGTACTCGTTGTCTGGAACTCATTATTCCCTATTCGTTCTAATAAGTTAATATAGTTATTTGTTACCTTTACAGCTTACATTAGCTAGTTAAAAGTTTAAACATGTCATTTCTAAGAATTTAGGCATTTGAAATATAAAATTTTGCGGAAACAGGTATGATATAATTTTCAGAATAAAAATGTATTTGATTAATTTAAACTCAAAAATTATTGTAGATTTTATGAATACAGTAAAACCTGTCTTGTGTGGAATTGCACGGGACCAATAAAAATGTTCGTTTTAGACAGGTTTCCATACAACTAAATAAAAAGGAAAATTCCGTAATATAACATTCCGCACGATTAAGGTTGTAACATTTTCCGGCCAATAATAAAAAATATCATAGGCTACGTCATATCATAGGCCTTAAGTTAAACAAATCTTAGAAGACATTATGAAAGCAAATACAACGATACGAAACGACAGGTAAACTAAGACTAAGGTGACAATAATAAGCACTGATGTGTAGACAGGCGCGGATCCAGGGGGAGAGTTCAAGGGGCCATGCCCCCCCCCTAGACTCTGGTGAATTGACTATTATATATTTATATCCATTTTCAGCAGCCGATAAAATGCATTGTTTCGCCAATAGCGTTTCGGCCGTATCCGTTTTTAATTTTATTCAAGATCCCCCCCCCTAAATATGTTCTAGATCAGGGATGGCAAATCAATGGCAGGCGTGCCCGAGGTGGCGCGTGAAAAAATTTTGTGGGCAAGTGAAAACTAACCTTTTTATACTAATACATTAATTTTACAATAAAATTATAGTATAACAAAATATTATATTTTTTATATTTTTTTCATGGCACGCTCTAAAAAAAAAATAGGTTATTATTAATTTTGGGCGCGCAGTGTTCAAAAGGTTTGCCATCCCTGTTCTAGATCCTCGCCAGTGTGTAGATTCAAGATAAAACGTACTTATCTGTCGATACGTATTAATTTCTGACCTTAATAATTATTTATTAGCAAAATAAATGTGGGTATCAAAAATATTTTTATTCAATTTATGATGTGTTTTTCCGTGTATATGAGGTGTATATGATTTTCGGGACCAATAAATAGCTTTCCGTTTTACGTTAGTCAGGTTCCGTTTTATCAAGTGTTTAATCCTATGTTAAATTATAGAAATCTGCCGGGAGCATAGTAAATTTCCGCGCAGAAAAGAATTCCGTCTTATCAAGGGTTCGGATAAGACAGGGTTCACTATATTTTTGATTATTTTTGATTATTAACTTACCTATTACTATTATGAGTTCTAAGGATATTATATTAATTATTCTTCACTTTTATTAAAAATTTTTTTTTAATCTAGGCTATATCGATTATTTATTTAATCATGAATGTGATTATTTAGAACTTAATTCAGACATACACTCATACTAATCATAATATTGCAAGAAAGTTAATAATTGAACTATTTAATAAAAGCATTAATAATATATTATTTTTCTTTAAGGAATGAAAGCCTATCAACTTAATAAATAGTTGGTATTGAGAATAAAAAACACGATTATTGTTAGTTTTTTTTTTGAGTTAATATTAAAACTCAATAGTTGTCATATTTCATTAACTCAAAAATTGTACCTAATAAGTTGAAACGTACCTTATTGTAAAAAAAAATCAAAGTGTTCATAAGTATGAATACTACATAAATATAAGTACTTATTTTTATCAAAACATGTAAAAAAAAATTAAAATTATATTAAAAAATTCAGCAACGATTTAGCAAAATGTTTTTGAAGTCACTGAACGAACATTCCACATATACTGATGTAATGGAGGTGTACTTCCAGGTCCGTATCTATACATTATACGCCCCGGGGCAACATATTTTAGCAGCTCCTAACCTCCCCCTCTCACACAAAAAAGTTATTTTCTTTAAATGTAAGATGTTTCTACTGTGTTATGGACATTGTTCTAGTCTACATAAAATGTAATCAACTAATAATTAACCTATAGGTACTGAACCCTATGCTTAGAATAATATAATACTCTAATATGCCTCATAGACTAATATTAGTGATATTGTCATACCCCAAATACCTCCACGTATAAAATATATTTAAATTATAATACAACATTAAAATAAGTACCTATTAACCTATATTATACATATATAATATTGAAAAACTCTCTACTTCCATGTCTTGAACAGTTGTATCTACTTTAATGGGGAAACTTTTTGTGTAATAAAATATAACTTACCTTGTATGATTAGGTACCAACTTAAAATGACCTCAAGCATTTTGGAATAATAGGTGTTATAGATTTATTTATACACATTTCGTTTTAATGTTACAAAATAATATAGCTGACAAAATCATTTCTTGTTTTTCAATTTAATTTAATTAAAAATAATTTATATTTAGATAGATACATAATGCAATTCAAACTGTCTCCTTGATTGGAGACATGAAAATGAATGGATTATTTTTTCAAAATCTGTTTCTTTAGTTAGTTCATTTTCTATAGTTATTAATGCTAATGCAGAACACCTTTCTTAGATCATAGTTGACCTAAGCTTTTGACCATTCTAAAATATCATATTCTAAATAAAACCATGTAGTATTTTTATTTAGATTTATAATATTTTTTATAGTAAATCATATATTCTTATAAAAGTTAAAACGTATAACGTAAATGTAAAGTTCGTGAAACTACATATTTTTATATGTAAAGTAGGTAGGTACCTACCTACGAGCATACATTATAATTAATTGT